GTTCCAAAGCTATGGAGCGCATTATCATATTTGTATTCCCAATAAGGATAGGGAGTTCATGTTTATGAGCTTTCTTAGGAGTTTTCATATGCTCAGCAGGGTGATATGACCGTTCAAGATTATTATGGCTATTTGACCCATCGCTGGCTTGAGTATGAGACTCTACGTCCTGTTGCTGCTATTCCGAGGATAGAGCTCTAGGGAGCAACATTCTTGCATACTCGAGAACATGAGAATAGGATTCACAAGTTTTTTATGGGGTTTTGTGATGAGTTTGAGGGGCCTTGTTCTCAGATCTTGTCGATGTTGAGGCTTCCTTCTCTTTATGAGGTGTATGTGCTGATTGAGCGGCATGAACGCCGCGTCCATATTGCATCACTTCTAGCTACGACCTTGACTCTTTCGGCTGACCACATGGCCCTTGCAGCTGCTGTAGGGTCTCGTTTAGGATCCTCAGTCAGGGGTCGCTCGGACCAGCGCCATTAGGGTGTCCCAGATTAGCGTAGACAGGGAAATTCTCATTAGTGTGATTATTGTGACTGACCAGGACATCTCAGTGCCGCTTGCTGAAAGCTCTATTCGAAGATTAAGCTGCCTCATTGCAGTTGTACTACTGTTATTGTTGAGGTACCACCACCTACTGCTGCTGTTCCTCATTAGTAGAGTGATATGGATGATATCACTTTCTGATCGGATATACTTATGTCCGTCCTGACTTTTTAGGATCCGACAACTGTTACTGCCACCATTGCAGGTATACCTCGTATTTTTCATGCTTATGCCAGTCCATCTTCCATTTTGTTGTTGGATTCGGGTGCGAATAGTCATATGATAGGTGAGGCCCATCACTTTATCACTTTTGATGAGCAGTTACATACACAGGTTCAGCTAGTAGATGAGACACATGTCTCTATTGTTAGTAGGGGTATAGTCCGCCTTCTAGATGAATTTACATTACATTCGATTTTTCATGTGCTAAAGTTGGCCATGAATCTATTATCTGTATATTAGTTAGCTAGAGATTTTTACTGTGCGGTTGTGTTCTTATCTGATTCGTGTTATTTGCAGGACTTGAGTACCAAGATGATTATTATTAAAGGACATAAGAGAGATGTACTGTATTATCTAGACGATCCACCTCCAGTTTCACTAGTTCCTTCACCTCCATCACGTACACCTGCTTTGTCTTTATTTGTTCTTAGCTTGCATGCTAGTATTTTACCTAGTACTTGTTGTTATGATTTTTCATCACAAACTGTTCAGTTGTGGCATGAACGTTTTGGGCATATAAATTTTAAATATTTATGTATGTTATTTTCTGCTTTGAGTAATGCTTGTGTTGGTGGTAAACTTGATTGTATTATATGTTCTCTATCAAAACATGTTCAGACCAGTTATATTCTCACATGCACTAGTCACCGAAACCATTTGACCTAATACACTACGATATTTGGAGACCCTCTCCTATTACTGCTCTATCAGGTGCTCGATATTATGTGATATTTATAGATGACCATACCCGTTGTACTTGAGTCTACTTTTTGCATAGGAAGTTTGATGTACTCCCTATCATCACTTAGTTTCTCCAAATGATTAAGACATAATTTGATGTCATTGTTCGTGCTCTTCGTTTGAATAATGCCAAAGAATATGTGTCTGATATCTTAATGTCTCACATTTCTTCTCAAGGTATCCTTCAGCAGCTTACTTGTCTATATACTCCTGAAAAAAATGGAGTTGCTAAAAGTAAAAATAGAAGTCTGATAGGGATAGTACGTTGTATGCTTAGAGGTATGAGAGTACCAAAATCTTATTGGTATTTTACTATTTTGACTGCTACTTTTTTTGTGCAATCGTATACCGAGTCGTGTTCTCCAACATAGGGCTCCCTTACAAGTCTTTTTTCCTGAGCGAACACTTTTTTCGGTCCCTCCTCGTATTTTGGCTGCACATGTTTTGTTCAGGATCAGTCATCTACTCACCATAAGCTTGATGATAAATCGATTCATTGTATCTTTGTGGACTACTGTCATTAGTCTAAGGGATATCGGTGTTATGATCCTGTCAGGCGATGTATGTATCACAGTCTAGATGTTACCTTTTTTGAATATATTCCTTATTTTTCTTTCAGTTCTATGTTTGTCCCTCTAGTTGATGATATTCCCTTCGATTTTCTGTTACCACAGAAGCTAGAGCCATTGGTCACTATCACTATAGAGTCATCAGTTTCTCCTCCTTCAGAGCCACTCATCCCTATCAGTATAGAGTCACCAGTCTCTCTTCCTTCACAGGTTTATGTTCGTCACCCTCGCTCTTATCCCTCTGCTAATGTCCCCTCTATCTTAGGTGATGCAAGTAATACTTTTTAGTTCATTGAGCATATTGATGTACCTGTTGTTAGTATTGATGAGATTGCAGATATTAAGCTAGTTACTTTACCTGATGAGACATTGTCAGTAAAGGATGATGATATAGGGCGTCACTATTCGCGGCGTGATTGCCATCCGATTGTTCGTTATGATTAGACTGCCAGAACTTTATATTTGACCTCTGCTTATGTTTCTTGTGATAATCTATCTCACATTTCAAGCTTATAGTATGACCTTATCAAATACGCCGATTTCTCGTTCTATTTCAGAGGCTATGCGAGAGCCCCAGTGGGTTCTTGCCATGTAGATGGAGATGGACGTTTTTCAGCATAATCATATGTGGAATCTTGTCTCTTTATCTTCAGGGGTAAAACCTGTTGGTTGTCGTTGGGTTTACACCCTAAAATTTCTTGCGAATGGTACTATTGATCGTCATAGGCGAAGGGATTTACTCAGGTATCAGGTCGTAATTTTGGTGCTACCTTTGCCACCATGGCAAAATTGACTACTGTTCGATTGATTATTTCTTTGGATGCGGAGTACTCTGAGCCTCTTCATCAGTTGGATGTGAAAAATGCATTTCTTCACGGTGATCTGGACGAGTTTATTTATATGGATGCATTACCGGGCTTTCGTGGCGAGGGGGAGCATGTTGGAAAGGTATGTCGACTGCGTAAGTCTCTTTATGGACTAAAAACAATCACCATGAGCCTGTTTTTCTCACTTTAGTGGTGTAGTTATACGTTTAAGATTCACCAGATGTCATTCTGATCATACATGCTTCATTTGATGGAATACTTCTGGACAATGTGTCATCCTTTTGATATATATTGATGATATTTATTATTACTAGAGATGATGTTTCTGGAATTTGAGCAGGTCAAGATAGATCTTGGGAAGAATTTTGACATGAAGGACCTTGGATTTTTGTGATACTTTCTTGGGATTGAGCTTACCCGTAGTAGTAGGGGTATTGTTTTTTCTTAAAGAAACTATGTTCTAGATCTTCTCTCAGATACTAGGATGCTGGGGTACAAACCGGCATCATCACCTATTCGAAACGTCAAGCTTACTGCTGAGAGTGAAGAGTTGAGAGATCTGAATGTCTATCAAATGTTGGTAGGTAAACTTATATATCTAGCCAATACTAGGCTAAACATTTCATTTACTGTCAGCCGAGTTACTCAGTTCATGCAGAGACCATGTCAGCCTTTTCTTGATGCATTTTATCAAATTCTTCAGTACCTTAAGTCTTGTCTTGGACTTGGGTTGTTCTATGCATCATGACTTCAAATTGGTTCTCTAGCCTATTATTCAGATTCAGATTATGGGAGAGTGTGTGACGGTCGATCTATTACGGACTTCTGTGCTTTTCGAGGGACTCCTCTTATCTCTTGGAAGATCAAGAAGCAGTCAGTTGTCTCTTACTCGTCAGCAGAAGTAAAGTATCGGACACTAGCAATTGGCACATGTGAGATTATCTGGCTACAATCGATTCTTGGCGAGTTGGAATTTCTAGTGACTTATTCATCTACATTATATTATGATAATCGATCTGCTATTCAGCTCACTTTTGACTCTGTATTACACGAAATGACAAAACATATAGAGATCGATGTATACTTTTTTTGGCAGAAAGTTAATAATGGTTTTGTCACTCCATCGTTTGTAGGGACCAGTGATCAGGTTGCGGATGTTTTCACCAAATCTGTCACTTTATCCATTTTTTGGGACTCTGTTGTTAAGCTTAACTTAGTTGATTTTTTTGCGCCTAACTTGAAGGAGAGTGTTTGAGTTATAGTAGTCTAGGTTATTAGGGTTTATTAGAGTTTTTCCCTTTTAACCTTTTTATCTTTATTATGACTATATATATATATATATATATATATATATATGAGAACTCTACACTTAATTTGTATCTCTTTTCACTCACGTTTATTCCAAGTCTCACTAATGTTGTGATTTTTTTATTGATGTTATAATTTTGTCCATTATTGTTATAAATTTTCTATTGATATTGTAATTTTGTTGACTATTGTTGTAAATTTTTTATTATTATTATAATTTTTTCACAAATAATGTAATTTTATCTACTATTGTTATGAGATTTTTTATTATATTTATAAATTTTTTATTGATGTCACCTTACCTTTATTTTTACACGTAACCCGATCTGCAGCAAAACAATTTTTGTACCGAAAATCTTGACGTCTGTACCGTTGTCTGTTCCCATACTACCATTTCCGGTCAAGTAATTAATAAGGTCGGTGGAAGGCGTTGAAATTTGGGTACAGAGGAGTCAGTCACCAAGAAATATCTTTGCCTTTGTGGAAGGCGTTGAAATTTGGGTACATACCCAAACCATTAACTTAGGAAACGTACGACTGGTCCGATAATATAATTATCAAAACATTAGTCTAACCTTATTTAATAAGAATAATTGTTTAAGTTTGTCTAGTCTATCAATTATCATCTTCATTTACAAGTTTCTAGTTATATTTAAATTTATTAGTGTCACCCATGCTTGTTATATTGTGGGTAGGAAGAGTTCTTACGTCTAATAAATCTTGATCGTTAATTTAATAGTGACACGTGTACACACACAATTAGAAGCATGCTTCTATTTAAAGAATGTTGTCTTGGATTAAGATTTTGTATAGATTAATCGAATTGACATAAAAAATGAGTGGCAAAGGTGTTCAGAGTGGAGGAAGAATAAGTCCCGGTGTTGGTCGAGTTGTATGTCTTGATGATTCGTCTTCATAGGTGGAGGAAATGGAACTATGGAAGACAAAGTAGAAGTGAAGAGGTGACTATGTGTCCTCCTATTCCTCTTTGTCCAGAACCCCTGGTGATTATCGTTCCAGGGGTGATTAACATTATGAAAGTTGTCAATATTATGAATATAATAATGCTATTAGGACATAATGAGTTGTTTTCAATGAAATGATTGTAAAATATATTTAATGATGGGTCCATTGTAACATTAATGAATTCATTATTATATCATTGGTGACACCTCATTATGTTCTCAAATTATGTCTCAATAATATTGCTCTTATGAATATTGTCAACGTTTTTTTTTTCCGGTAAGTGAATATTGTCATTGTTACGAAAGTGGTGGAGCCTCAACTTATAAGCCTAAGCCTAAAAGAGTGGTGGAGCCCAAACCTACTCTGGAGCCAAAGCCTAAGCTGATAGGAGTGGTGGAGCCTAATCCTAAGCCTACTTATGAGCCGAAGCCTAACCCTAAACCTACAGGAGTGGTGGAGCCTAAGCCTAGGCCTACACGAGTGGTGGATCCTAGGATGACACGGCCCATGTCAACATCGTCAAGTGATGGTGGTGGAACCCTTGGAAGGACTATCTACCTCTGGAGTTGCAATTAATTAGAATCATTCTGATGTAAGGTATCCAGCTAATCAACTTGGTATCACTATACCAGGAGGATCATCTTCCGGTGGTAGTTCAGGGGGAGGGGGGAGGGGACGGTGGTGCTATAATGCATGTGGACAATGGGTATGGATGCCATATTAACCTTTAATCATGTAAGCATTAAACCGAGGATAATTAGTAATATGGCTGTTTCTTTCCTCTCTCTCTCTGAATTCGAAGCCGACAAGACCATGTTTGAGGTCTTCAAAAGAAGAAGAAATACCTTAAGCTTGCTTGCTCATTGGACTTTTGTTCTCTCCCCTCTTCACCTGTCCCTTTCTTTTTTTATTCTTTGATTGTATTTAGTTTCGTATTATCTTTTCTTAGGGTTTATGGTTTGTTTGGGAGGAGATGTTGTACTACAGGAATTGTAATGAATATCATATTATGTGAAGTAACTTATGGATGGAGGAAGGAAACTTTTTCCTCAACCAATTATTCTACCAATACTACTACTAATGCGGTTATATTTTCATTACAAGAATTAGGGTATTTTGAGAGACATTTTTTTTTATGAGAATAGTATTCACCATCACAAAAAAAAAAAAATATGTTTTAAAGGAAAAATATTTTTTGTGGCGGTAATGTTGTCATAAAAAATTTATTTGGTATCGCAAATACTATTTGAGATGGGTGGATGTCACTCCAGAGATTTTTTGTGACTACATTTATTATAGCAAGGTGTTGTAATGGTATGTCTTGTCATAGTAAGTGTAGTTTCAAAAAATTTGTAACGACAATTGTCGTCTCAAATAATATTTTTGATAGCAAAAAAACTTTTTATGACATTATTATCACCAGAATTTTTTTTTTCTACAAAACATACTTTTTTATGACTATGAACACTCGGTGCAAAAAAATTGTCTCCATACCATAATTCCTGTTGTGTTTAGGTGCAAATACATTGCTAATTACTGAAAAAAGGCTGACTTATATCATTTTGTGGGGATTATCCATAATCAGTCACTTGCAATATTCAAATTGCCAATTCTAGATGATTGATCATGCAATACAGTAAGAAACTATCTCCTGTCAACTTTATTTAATCTTCCACTACTCTGGAAAAAGAAAGAAGCAAAGGCAGAGATAAGATGGATTATTTGTTCAAAACAATATTTCCTAATTATTAAAAAATCAATTACCTCTGTAATATCGGAACTGAGTGATGGTACCGGCGTGTTGATTATGCATTGAAGTGGCCAAAGGTGGCGTCTGACTACTGGCAAAGAAAAAGCTGTGGGCAACCTTGTAGTGTAAAGGTCGTGAGAGGATTTTTTTTGGTATGCCATTGGCATTGTATTGTCTTTAATCATGAGCCCCACCCCCACGCTCTCCCCCAGGTTCCCCCCACCCCACCCCACACCACACTTTTGATCAAATTTTATCCATTACAGAACAAAAAAGTACCAATCAAGGCTGATCAACTTGATTGACTTGAATCCCCCATTTTACCTAACTTTGAATTTTTTCGCCACCCATAAAAAGCAAGTAGGAGATGGAGCCCACTCGCTTAGAGGATCTTCGTCGATAATTCAATCGTTACCCGTGTATGCTCACGATTACAAATTCCTCGTCTATATAATAGTTGCCTTGAGTTAGGGTCCTCAGGGAGGATTTCTGTAATAAGTACAGTCAAATTTGTGTCAAAAATGGTAGCGGAGGTGGCCGGAGTGGAGGAAGCGCAAGTACCGGCGGTGGACGTGTTATATGTCATGATCATCATGGGAAAGTGAAAGAGAAGATCGTGAGTCCTCCGTGTAGAGCACCTTCCGGACACCGGGTGGTCATCGTTACGAACGTCGTCAATGTTACCAACAACACTGTAGTAATAGGTGGTGGAGCCGCCTAAGCATGAGCATCAACATTTTTGAGCATGCTCATCATAAACATGAGCATGCTCATAAACATAAGCATGCATTATAACACTACCGTCCACCGCCATGTTTATGCTCATAAACGAGCATGCTCATAAACATGGTGGTGGACGGTAGTGTTATAATGCATGCTCATGTTTATGAGCATGCTTATGTTTATGATGAGAAACATGAGTATTCTCATAAACATGAGCATGCTCATAAACGCTCGTAAACATGAATATAAATATGGCGGTGGACGGTGGTGTTATACTGCATGTGGACAACGAGTATGGATACTTTAAGCTTGCCTTGCTTACTGTGCTTTATCTTGCCAAACGGATGAACCCCTCCTCTTTTTTTTCTATTTTGATGTCTTTACTTCTGTATTATCTTTTTTTAGGGTCCGTGTGGTCTGATCGGGAGGAGATGTTATAATTGTTATATTTATGTGTAGTGTCTTATGTAATTCTGAAGGGTTTATTTGGATTATCAATAAATTGCTATAGTATGGTCTTCCTATAAAATACATATGCAGGGACGAAATTATGATTTAATTCTAAGAGGGTCGAACAACGACACAGTGAATAATTCTACTCAATGTGTTATTCAATTGATTGTTATAAACAAATTTGTTATAAATGATACATTAAATAATTCATTATTGATGATAGTATTTATTGACATTTGTTACCTTTTATCCCTAGTAATATTTGTTAAATTATCAACGAATCTTTGGTCTAAAAGTATCCTTTGTCTTGTGAAAATTTTGTTTTCTTGAGATCAAGAGTGTTGGAATTAAAAGAAAATTTTTAAAACCTTCTCCTGAATTTTAGTTTCACCTATTTTTAAATATCGATTTTTCAAATTATTATTTACGGTTTTTAAATTATTCATAGTCTTGCATTCGTCTGTTATCATGAGAAACTAACGGTACAAAAGTTTAAGATATTTTATGAGTATTCAAAGCTATAAACGTTATCAATAGCATTAGTGTAATAGTAAATGGGTTGTTGACTGAAGTTTCAAACGGGATTTTCTTATTACCTATGTAAAGGGTATTGGATAGTACCAATTGGCTATCGTCTTGCAGATCAAATATATACAGCTTGTCATTTTGTGTTATAGCACAACTTTTCTTTCTTTATTCTTCAAGCAGAGATATCACATCTCAACCAACCACCTACTGTTCAGTATTTGTAGCCTAAAACGTCTATTATAAATGAATTTTTTATTTTTAATTAATAATTTTCTATTTAAAAATTATTTTTTTTATTAAAAATAGTCTAATCTTTGTTGTGATTGTCGATCTTAGGGAAGATTTTATCAATTTTAATTTTAAACAATCATAATCTACTGATTTTAAATTTTCTAGTTTAATAAAAAAAATAGTTTGGTTTATTTTTTGTAATAGAAATAAAAAAAATTCGTAACACAAAAAAAGAAGAAGAGAATTTGTATTTACTGAAGAGTGAATGAGAAGGAGGGTCTTAGTTTACTAGAAAGAGAGAATGGTTACAAATGAATTATGTATTTTGGTTGACTAGTTAAAATTATTTTTTTAATTCTTAGTTTTTTTTTTCTAAAAAATTTATTTTTTAATATTATGGGTTAGGTTCATGAGTCCAAACTACTCAAATTTATTTTTAATTGAGTTTAAATTTTTATAGGGTTTTTTTTTAAGACCTAAAATCTTATTGATTTAAAAACTTTGATTTGGACTAACTATACACCTAAAAAATTTGGGGCCTTCTTAGAATATGTGGGCTAAAGTTCAGGCTTTGTTGACCTTGTGATAGGGCCGGCCATGCTCCTGTTATAGCCTTATGGGTTTTTAATTTTCACTACGTTAAATTATTTTATTGTTGGGCAATTCGATTCGATTATAGTTTATTTTTACCTTTTAGTGGACGTGATCATTGAGTAGGTGCTGCTGCGAGTATATGGGTTGGATTTTGGAATCGTTAGTGTTCATCAACACCTTCATGTGGGGAGGCCTAGTTGCTTTAGAATAGTGATCACATGCCTTTTGGACTCTCAAATCAACTCTTTCCAATATACATGTTGTTATATATATATATTCTGTTTGATCAAATTTTAAATTACATGTTGTTTTTCCAATTAATTAAACTAATGTTCAATTGCTAGATTTTCCATTGTACAAAATACATCACTATGCACATCACAGTACACCATAATCTAGTTTGACTTCTGTACATTTGCTATTCTGTTATACAGCACTCTTATTTTTGGAAGTTATTGTTTTGTTATTATATCAAGTCTAAGTTGTGAAAATTTTTTATCTACCAGAGGGTTCAAGTCCCTAAGCAATAAAAAATGTGGATAATTGGTAGGACGAACTTCAGTTGCTTGGACAAACCGTATACAAGTCTTTGGTATGAGTTTAAATCCCACAGAAACACAAGTCTTGATTTTAATTGGTATAAGAGTTGAAGGATCGATTCATGTACCCAAAGTTTGTCCACAGTTCTACTCGGACTCACGAATTTGAGTAACATAAGTGCACTTCTACTCGCCGGGGACAAGCCAGAGATTTTGTAATGCCCCAAAATTTACCCTGGAAGACATTACTATCTACAAACCATTCAACCATGAGAGCAACTAAAAATAACTATTAAGTAATAAACTATTCATCCATTTGCCAGGGAATAAATACTAAAACCAATAAAACATTGAAACTTCTCCAACTTACAATTCAAAACCAAGAATATCTAAAAACTAGCTAAAATATTGTTTTATAAAAATATCTCAAACATTAAACCAAAAATAGATCACTTTTATTCTTTTAAGGTAGGATCCACATCTTGATCCTCCAACAGCTCGTAATCAATCTACTCATCCACATTGACATCCTCTTCTATGCCAAAATCTGTAAGTGTATTGTAGGGCGTGAGTAAAAGCCCGTAGAAAATTCCTCTCAAATTCCAACAAGATTTGAAACAATAAAAGATGACAAGTCTCTTTTGAAAAATAGCATATATAGATTTTTGAGAATAAAACCATGGTAGTTGTAATGATCTCAAGTGTATGGAATACAATAAATCAATGACAGGAATAAACTTCCAAGAAATTAAAGCAAT